CTTTAGATTTGTAGTACGATCAATAAATTAGTCGCCGAAAAACTTATGTAACCATACTTCGATCAATGGTATGTCACTAGATGAGACTGTTACTACATAAAGTTTCTTCTTGTAAAGAACATGGATTAAAATGGCAGCAAGTCTATTGCATATCCCACAAACCGGAAAGAAGTAAACAGGTATTGCATGGCCTGCAGAGTTACCAAACTACCAAAGAAAGAAAGAAACAAAGAAGGATAGAATCCGTCTTATTACATTTCAGCGCGCATGCGCTGAAATGTAAAAAAAAAGTTTTTAACCATTCTGTAAATGACACAAGGCGCCTGCAAAATGAGAAATTATATGCCATAAATCGCAAAAAATAACATTGAAAAACGATACTAATGTCGTAGAATGACAAAATCGAATCCAAAGGGAAAGAAGAAAATGCGGAAATAAAAAGAAAGAGTCCATTATTTGCCATACCATACCCTGCATGTTTAGTCATTTGTTCAACCTTTATGACAACGTAGACTTCATAATGATGGCAACTTTATTTTTGGCCAAACTTTTTTTTTATTTGCACGCCCGCATCAGTTTTCAGGTTCCCAGAGGATGTCATCCGGATATATATAATCAAGTTAACATGGCCCCGCTACTGTAACATCACACAGATGAAGCCTGTTCCAGGCCGAACTTGGCCTTCAGAGTAGCGACATGTCTCTTCTCCTTGTCTGTGTCCAGACACGACTCATCTGTGATGTCACACCTGTGGGGGAGTAGACCATTGAATTTCTTAAGATAACAGCATATCATATGATTTCATTTTTATTTATTTCACCAGTAGATCAAACTGTTACCTGTTCTTTACATGTACATGTAGGTTTCTCTTGTTATCATGTTAATCATGTAAAATGCGCAATTCAGCATCTTTGTACACAAATGAAGCTGCCATGTATTTTACTGAATTGTGAACTCAATATATAAAACATAATCTCTCTTTGTCATATTTACATACGTTACAGTTTTAAGTAGAGATAGAAAGTTAGATTTGTTAACTAGAACTTTATGTTTTATGGTTTTATATGCTTCTTCAATTATACATTCTGCACTCATTGTCCTTGTCAGTTTGCAATTAGCCCTGGGGTATGCAATGGCAATAAAGAAAGACACAGGATGTTAGAAAAATATGCATAAAAGTCAATAGTCTTTTAGTAAGTATAGACAACTAACAACATGATGTCTTATTGTATATATCATATGTTGTATGTTATTTGTCTCCCCATCCATTGCATTTAACGGTTATTCAAAATCTTTTTTTTTTAAATCACCATGATGATGATGATTGTTTTATCAAGACAAGACACATAATACAGTATCATGTGTAATGCCTGATTTTTTCACGGTACTGTTATGTTCTTCACTGTTTTCACTGTCACTTCTTTACCGTGAACTTACCGTAAACAAGTAATTCCAGGACCTGGACTTTTTTTTTTCCTGTACCTGTCACCACCGTGAATATATAGTTCCGTGAACATGTCCATTTTTCTCACACAGTCTCAGACCGTGAACTTTTGCTACCGTGAACATAAAGTGAATTACAGTAACTGACCTGTGTTGCAGCAGGGTGGCGAAGCCTGGCTCACTCAGTCCCAAGTCACTCTGCAGCAGCTCAGCCCAGTCCCAGGGAAACTCCAACAGGGTGTTCTGAAACAGCATAATGATGTCTAAGTTGCATGTTCTTGCCCATATGGGCTAAATGTGGTTGTAGTTAATATACATTGTGTATACATTGTATAGCATTACATAGTTATACATTGATTGATTGATTGTGTATACTGTACTACATTGAAGACTTATTAGGGAGTAAAAGGTAACTATTAAGGTATCATTAATTGTATCAATAATTACTGTATCAATAACTGTATCAATGACTGTATCATTAACTGTATCAATAACCAAGAGATAGGGGAATTCTTTTTACACAACCAGTGAATCTCACCTCGCTGACGTTTTGGTGTCTGTCAGACACCTTCTTCAGAGCTTCTGTCTGGAGTACTGCATCTCGCCGCTATATGTAGCCGATGTAGGTGGCGCTTTTGCGGCGAGAACACTATCCCAAACGTGGCTTAGTTTGTACCCCCCTCGTCCCGGTTCATTACAGGGGCTGACTTTCTGACCCAAACTGCCTCAAGCGCCACCTACATCGGCTACATATAGCGGCGAGTTGCAGAACTCCAGTCAGAAGCTCTGAAGAAGGTGTCTGATAAACATCGAAACGTCAGTGAGGTGAGATTCACTGGTTGTGTAAAAAGAATTCCCCTATCTCTTAAGTTTTACCAACCTGATGAAATTATTTTCGGATGTATCAATAACTGTTTTGATGGGGTCAGGAAAAGTGATGTTGTATTTCTGGTTTCAGTATGAAAAAAAATTGGGTTTGTAGGTTGGGATTTTTTTCTTGTGTATTTGTTTTGTTTTTTACTTGTAATTTTTTAAAAATTTGTTCCGGCTAAAATGCTGCATGGGTGCAATCCTCCATAGTTATGGGTTCACCACACCACGAAGTGGTGGTGAACCCATATTGCTTTTTCTGATGTTTCTTCTCCTTCTCCTTCTTCTTCTTCTCCTGCCATTTTTTAAATGGATTCAGCTTCTTCATTTTAGGGCCTAAGGTCCTGAAATTTGGTATGGAGGTACAGTGGGCAAATACCCCTAGGCGTTTTTAAATTTTTGTGATACAGGCTTTTAGAATGGTTTTATTTGAGTTTTTTGGCTGTGTTATAGCAAATGTATTACTGTGTTAGTGTGCCGTGTTTACACGTCTGGGCATGAGTCATCACAATGGAATGCAGGGCATCAACCAATAGGCATGCAGCTTTCCTCTATACTTCTTGCTGATTGGCTGTTGGGATTTAACTTGATTAACACCTGCACAGAGCATTTCCACCTGCACAGAGCATTTCTTGCTGATTGGCTGTTGGGATTTAACTTGATTAACACCTGCACAGAGCATTTCCATACTGACAGTATGTCTTTATTCAAGTGTTTTGGTAGGTATTTCAAGCTTTTCTGCTCCAGCATTGGAATGCGGGGCATGAACGTTGTTTTTTTTTTTTGAAAATCAACAGTTTGCATTATGCAATTAAAAATCCTAACCAATAAAGTAGGGAATAGCTATCCAACTGTTGTTTTAGTTGTACATGTATGTTACTTCATCAATCATATTATAGTTATATCAATGTAAATCATTGTTTTCCCTTGTGTTTCTCATTCTTTCCCTGCCATGTCGTAAAATGTGGTGAACCCATCGCTGTATTTGCTCCAAAGCAAATATTGGCCTTTCTAGTTTCTGCTGGATCCATAATGGCTAATTTAAACCGAATTTAACATCATTTTTCTCCAACCGGGGGTTAGACATGCTTGCACCAGGTAGAAGTCTTTTTTTGAAGCAAGATTTTTACGGCTGGATGCTCTTCCTAACGCCAACCCAAACCCTAGTAGGGCCCAGGAACCCTCTAACTGAGGGGGGAAATGCGTGTTAAGTGCCTTTCCCAAGGACACAACGTCTGGGTTCATGTTCGGACATGTCTGGATCCAACCCTGGGGATTGAACCTGGGTCTTCTTGCTTGACAGTCGGACGCTCTATCCACTACACCACACAGACGCCACAATGTCACAGTATAAAAATATTCATTTGAGAACTGTTGGTAAAAACATACATGTACATGTACCTGGTCAATGTTACAGTCCCCTATGCTGTTGAACTCCAGCATTGGGTCAAAGGTCATGCCCTGCTCTCCTGACCAAGGGTTGGGTTGAAAGGGCACGACCTGGGGGAGGTCATCCTTCCCCAGAAGTGGAGGGATCCCTAACTGCACCTGGAACCATTGCTGGAAGGTTTGGAAAAACATTGTTGAATGTATAACACAATGTCATGCATATAAATTGCACGGATAAATTATTCCAAAATTGAAAAGTAACATTAGCAAAGAAAATTAATGCATACTATTTTTTTTCATTTTCACAAACTACTCTTAGTATTTATTCTTATTCAAACAGAATTTTTAAAAAGCAATATGTTTTTAATATGTACAAAATGTAATTGTTGATAAATATTACCTGGTTTGCTTTGATGACATTGAACAAGTGGACAAGGTTGTTCTTACCTGAAAAAAAATATCAATAGACAAAGTGTGATACAAAAATATATTCAGAGATGAATGAGAGACTCCTAATTATTTAAGAATTTCAAATTGTTTTAATTTAAATTAATAAAAAAGCTAAGGCAGCTTTTCCATAGAACATCAAGTTTAGAGCTACATGTATGTAGTACATGTAATACACTTCATTATATATTCCCTGTTAAAATCTTAATACGCAGACTAGACATGTGCGCAGTGTAGACATAAATAGTACACAGTCTAGACATAAATATCGGACTGTACTAACTTGCTTCATTTATGTGTGGCTATCTACTATGAACGCATGATCACACTCGATAACACTGGAACATCGACACAATGTTTTTGACACAAGAAATGCTAACAATTTAATCCAAAATTACACAAGTAAATAATGTTTTGCATGACTTTTATTTGTGATTTGCATGACAATGCTGTGTATACAATGGGAAGTTATTGCAGATCCGATGTGTACTGTAAGTAGAAACTTACATGTATTAATAAAGGTAACATTTGCAAATCAAATGCATAATGTTAAGCTTTGCATATAGTCTGCTCTGTTTTCTTACTCAAATACATTTCATATATAATATGGTCAGACAGGAGTCTAAATCCCTCCTACTATAAAATTGCAACATCATGTAACCCATCACTAGTTACCATGGTGACAGACGTCAACAAATCAGGTCATAGGCCTGGTCAGAGATCAGTGTTTGGAACGGAAGAAGAAGAGGAAATGTAGCAAAAACAGTATGTTTTTCTTCGGAAACATGATTATGCCTAACTCACCCTGTTGTTTCTGAAGGATGTTATGAGCCAGTGTGGACATGAAGAGTTGAAGGAACTCCAGGTTCCCTCCTTCTAACACTGCAGCATTGGAGCCTTCATCCACAGACCTGCAAACAAACCACATGCATTAACCATGCAATTATCAAAGCAGGGTTGGACAAGTTTTCAAAAATCAACTTTTCAAAATTGTTCTATCAGTCAAGTACATCATGATTATTTCCACTTGCCTAAACCAACTTTTTACTTGGCCAAAATATGACATATTTCCATGCATTTTACTTGCAAAAAGGAAATTATTACTCCGTGAAGGAGGTCAGGACCTCCGGACGGAGTGTTGTGATCGGCTGATTTTTCATGTTCGCAGTCAAAACACTGGGTTCTCTTTGTGTAATCGGCACGCAATTTTATACGCCGTCTGCGGGCATGCCCGTGTTGATGCACGAATGTGTATTTTTGCCGTTGCTGCTTTCGCGGTCAATGTAATATCGCAGACGCACCCCTACAATTACGAGGCGAATTGGAATGGTCCAGAAAAACGCGTTGTTTGGAATAGCAGTGGGGTTCAAAAAAGTTCATGCAGATACGGGGTGGTTTTTATAAGTGGTTCCAGATGTTTTTGCCCATGGTTAAGAGATGCCAAGTTTTTTGGAAGATGTTCGCAGCCAAAACGCATTCTTCCGTACGTCGCATTTTTGTGTAATTTCGCATGTGGTGTGGCATTATGTCCGGGATGATGCACGTCTTTTTATTTTTACCGTAGCTGTTTTGATATTGGAGTAAATGGTTATTTTCGAAACATCCCCATGTCGTTGAAATGTTGTCGTCCGTTTATGTCACCGGTAGTAAGTCGCGGCGGGGCTGATGGGGCGGAAATGTGGGGTGGTCAGAGGTCAACATTAGGAAATGTTAATACCGATGACGTAATCCTATCGATTTCAAACTGGTCGGGTGTGGCGACCTAGTGGCGGCGTGTATTTAGTCACGTAGCAACTGGCCGGTCGTCCTAGCAACGACACATGGCCAATATTTTTGGGTTGGGCCGCTCCATAGTGTTAGTGGATCAGCTCTTTGTAAACATGGACAATATTTTTGAGCAACCCATCAATGTGTTCTGCCTCGTGGTCAGATGTGGTCTGGGGCTGGTAAACCGCACATACAGTACTAGTAGATCGGGTAATTTTATGATTTGCTAGTTGTAAAGGCGTCGTGTAGTATGAGCCGGTATATGAAGAAGTAGCCTGTGTTACAAAATCATGCTTTCGGCCGGATTGATGTGCAACTGTTACTAATTGCAGGGACTGCGCTAATGCCGACCAGTCGCGCTGTCCTGATACACCGCGAATGTGCGAGTGTTCCCTGTAGACAGTCCCGGGAGTCATTTTTTCGCACATTCCAGGAGCCAAACCAAAATACGTTCATGAACCGAGTCCAAAAAACCGAAACGTGAAAATCGGATGATCGGACCTGATGTACATTTCTCTTTCTGTAGATTGTACACACAATACACACATCTTTAGATAATCTGGCCATGGCAGGTAAAAAAAAAGTAACCCTGAATCATACTAGATTAGCGTAAATGCATGTTTATGCGTTCAAAACAAGAAAAGAATTTGTTTCTCGGTATTAATCTCTTGAAACACGGCGCTGAATATTGACGCAAAAATATTTCGGGCATCGCGAGCCCTTCCCCAAATCCCGCGTCACGTGTCGGCATTTCGCATCTCTGATTGGTTGTTGCGACTTAAGATGACTGAGCCGACGCGCGTTTAAACAATTTTTCTTTGTTCGATTTATTTTCTTCACAGAGAATTGTCGCCAATGGCTACTTCTTTTTGTTGCAATATATAATACTTCACGGAGAATTGTCGCCTATGGCTTCTTGTTTTATTTTCAATAAAAAAAGTACTTTGAAGATTATAATCAATAATGTTGCTTGCTTTTATTTTACCAAAATGAGACACTGTCACTATGTACTTAGAGACTTTTCTGACAAAAGGGCATATTGTCAGCAAAACCAAAAATGTTAAAAGTCTGATGAACTCAATAAACTTCAACAATTTTAATCAAGTACTACAAAAAGATTTTATTATTTTTCTGACACATCAGAATATGCTGTATACAAAAGACATTAAAATATAAGGTGACCGGAAGTCAGATGCTTATTTACTGTACCTGAAGGTTCCGTTGGAAAAACATTTAGAACTCTGTGCTAGGATGGTGCATCAGATCCATACAGCTTACTAGTAATAAGCTATATTGTGTTTAATGTTGATTGCAATGTTGTATGAAGTTGGTTGTGGTATGAGGGAGGTTATTTTGTTTGTTCCTCTTGTTGTGGGTCTTTTTCTTTTGAAGTTCTTTTCTTTTGCAGTTTGGCCTTCTTATTTTGGCGTTTTTCTTTGGAAAGTATACATTAAACTTTACCGTTTCAGGCCACATCTGCGTGTTTTATCTTCATTGATAGATAATTTGGGAAAAATTGTCCGCATGGAAATTTTTCGTAATTAGAAACAACTACAAGATTTCAACCGGCCCACAAACCATGTGACCGCTCCCCCACGTGACTGCCGAACTTTCTCAGTTTGTTCTGTTTTGGGGGGGGAGACGGTTCTTGTTTTCGGCCCGGCCTGTTTCTGCACTGGTGCACCCAAATGAAAAGAAATGAGTGCACATGCAGCTGCAATTTTGGGTGCACCACCCAGTATTTTGAGCCCTGCAGATTTCCTCATCCAGAACATTTTTTTTGGTTTTGTTGCCCTGAAATTGCATTGCCTTACAGTGGAGTGCAGTTTACTCACACATTGGACACTGACTCCACGATGTTGTCTATCTGCTCGGTAAGCCAGCTGCCATGTTTCCTCATGAAGGTGTAGGCAAGACGAGGCATGTTTCCTTTGCTGCCTGAGAGTCAGAAAACATATTAAACATTCACCCCACGGTGCTTATTAAAGTTGTAAAATTAATCAAATATACAATCATTACGTCATGTATTAACACTAGACATGTATGTTCACATTTGGTACGTAATTCTCATTATTTCTCATTATTCACTTTTTAAGACATTTTTAACCAATACTTGGCAAGAAGCCTGACTTGCATGGAAATACAGGATAGTATAATTTATATTATAAATGTATGTATAATAGTGCCTTCAAAAAGTAGATTGTAAATTGTAAAGAACTTGAAACTCAATCATATTTCGGTCCACTGCCAGTAAAAAAAAGGCAACTGAACAGTAGTTGATGATAGATTAATTAACTGGCACTGCTGAAAAATTGGGATTTTTCTGGTGATGTTCACAGACCAACTTATTTCTCATTGACACCTAAAAACCTATTTGCCACAGTACCTGGAGTGAACAAATTAGGTACTAGATAGTATTAGCCAAAACTCCAGGAATTTGGCAGCTACATTGTAAGCTTTAAGTTACTAAAATCACTGTAACAGTTACAGTAACAGTGACTTACCAATACTTGCCACAGTGGCAGTGGGCAAAATGGTAAGCATATGCATACAGTCCTAGAACTTTTCAGTTGCATTGAAGATTTACTAGACTACTACACTGTAACTTGCTACTGTCAGCATTGCACACTGTAACTTACTTGGTACAGTGGTCATCAGCATTGTAGACTACTAAATTAAATTTAAAACTGTAACTTACTTGCTACAGTGGCAGTCAGCACGTGATAAGCACACAGTCCTAACAGGGACAGGTTGTCCTTGATGGTCTGCTTCATACTGTGGCCTGCCCACTCTTCCAGCTGCCTCTGGTTGTGTAGAGCCAGGTACACTGCACCTGCCAGTAGCTGGACACAGTATTACGGATAAGATACATGTACAGACACCTGGTACAGGTTAGAACTTGGCATCTGCTAGTAGCTGAACACAGTATGACGGGTGAGATACATGTACAGGCACCTGGTACAGGTTACAACTTAGCACCTGCCAGCAGCTGGACACAGTATTACGAGTAAGATACATGCACATGTACAGGCACCTGGTACAAGTTAGACCTTTAGCACCTGCCAGCAGCTGGACAGAGTGTTACGGGTACATATAATTATTATATGCACCTGATACAGGTTAGACCTTAACACCTGCCTTTAGCTGGATACAGCACCACAGGTAAGATACATTGGTACATACGTGTATGTGCACAGGTCCCGGTTACAGGTTAGACTTTTGCACCTGCCTTCAGTGGATACAGCACCACAGGTACATTGTAAGACCCATGAATAGTATTATAAATGCATGCAGGTGGCCACAAGCTCCAGAAATACATGCAGTATGCCTTGTACTTCTACTAATTACTCCGTGAAGGACCTCCGGATGGAGTGTTTTGAGTAGCTGTTTTTTCGTGTTCGCAGTCAAACACTAGGGTTCTCTTTGTGAAATCGGCACGCAATTTTTTATTGTTTACCAGTACTTAATAAATATAGTTGACTCACCTGTAACCCTACACTACTGTGAGCTGTTTGAATCTCCCTTTCTGTCAGTTTGTCTGCAATAGAAAAGTTACAACCAATATTTTTTTCTTATATTAAAACGTTTGGAAGGCCATATTTGGCTATATGAGCCACTGCATGGCTGTAGGTGTACTGTTAGAGTCAAAACTGTTAGTTTGATTTAAAAAAAACACAGGTAATGGCATACTGTAATGTACATTATGTAATATGTACAGGTCCTGGAGCATTGATTGTACAATTAAGCATAAGCCCCAACAAAATGCCATTTGAGGCCAGACCTACCTTGTAGTTGTTTACAGAAGTGCTGTACTGCAGTAGGGATGGTCTGTACAGTCTCCATTAGAGCTGACAACAGGCAGGCTAAGGCTCGAGTCAGAACAACCTTTGTACCTGCAGGAGAAAAAAGGAGGAAGACATTGACATTAAGCGAGTCCCAACATGTAACAAATAAGTAAAACACAATGTATTACCATGGGCGATTCCAAAGTACATTGTTTTGTCTTGATCTTCATATGAACTCAAGTTATATCTTAAGGTGGGTTTCACAGAATTTATTTGATTTTCACATGGTATATGCATGCATTGGTTAGTTCTTGGAGTCGAGATTTCATTGTACACTCAGGTATATGTATTTTCAAGTATTGAAATACTAAGACTAAATTTGAATAAAGACTGTAATTAGTAAAATAATTCCACATCCCCATGTTATACAATATAATTATGTGGTATGGTATCATCTATCATCAACAGCTGCTGTCCACTGTCAAAAGTAAGATAACAAAACAGGGTTCTCACCAGGATTTTTTCACAGCGTAGGGATCATGTACATGCCAATTATTACAGAAGGGCAAGCAATGAGCCAAAAAATTTTGAAACACATAACCCCATGAGACACTATCTCTGGCTTTCTGAGGAACAAGTTTATTGAAGTTTTAGTATCATTTTTCTGCGAGATTTATGAAGGTTTTCCCCAAAAACACCCTATACTGGTTAGAAGACACTGCATATAGGGGTCCAAATCACAGCACAGGGGGCACAAATCACAGCATAGGGGGACCCTATGCTCTAATAGCCTAGTGGGAAGTATGCAAAATAAAACATGATTAGTATACTCACTCATAGTCTTCCCCTCCTCTCCATCACTATCGTCCGTGTCAGTAGCCCTGCATCCACAGGGCAGGGCAGACAGGGCGGCGGCCATGTTGGGAGGGGCGGGCTTGCCCAGGTGCTCAGTAACATAGTCCACAGCACACATCACAACACTACAAAACAAGAAAATCAGAGATTCAAAGTATTTTTGTGACTTTAAGCTTTAACAATTTTGAGCTGCTGTCATTACATGTATGCCTGTCAATCTTTTCAAACCCACATGCTCTCAACCTACTCTCAAGCTTGACCCATTTCCTGTGTCTGACCTTCTGAAACCCTGCCATATCCAATTTTCTGTAACTGACATCCTGTCATTCTGCCTGTCAATCTTCCCACACATGTTGTCATGCAAGTATCAACCTCGTTAGCTCAACCCATTTCCAAACAAGTGTTCTCACATCTTGTCATATTCTACCTGACAATCATCCCACCCAACTGATGTCAACCTACTCTCAAGCTAACCGCATTTCCTGTGTCTTTTGACATCCAGGACAGCTGAAAAACAATAATTATGAGTCTGTGTATTATATTATATTCCCCATACCTTTTGATGATAGGCTGGACAGCATCAACCAGACATTTGCACCATAAAGGCATCTGTGGAACAGAAAATGAATTAGCCTAATAATTTCATCATTAATGGTGTTGGGAACAAATGCAGGTATGGTAATGAGCCTCAGGATATCAAATTTGATTACAATATCTATATACAAGAATTTTACTAAAATTAATAATAAACAAATTCATTTTAGATGAAATATATACAGTCAAACCAGGGACAGGGAAACACAGTCGGTACCAGGGACAGGAAAACACAGTCAGCACCAGGGACAGGGAAACACAGTCGGTACCAAGGACAGGAAAACACAGTCAGCACCAGGGACAGGGAAACACAGTCAGCACCAGGGACAGGGAAACACAGCCAGCACCAGGGACAGGGAAACACAGTCAGCACCAGGGACAGGGAAAAACAGTCAGCACCAGGGACAGGGAAACACAGTCAGCACCAAGGACAGAGAAACTCAGATAGCACCAGGGACAGGGAAACAGAGTCAGCACAAGGGACAGTGAAACACAGTCAGCACCAAGGACAGGGAATTACAGTTGGCACCAGGGACAGGGAAACACAGTCAGCACAGGGACAGGGAAACACAGTCAGCACCAGGGACAGGGAAACACAGTCAGCACAGGGACAGGGAAACACAGTCTCTACCAAGGGCAGGGAAACACAGTTGGCACCAGGGGCAGGGAAACACAGTCAGCACCAAGGACAGGGAAACACAGTCACCACCAGGGACAGGGAAACACAGTCACTACCAGGGACAGGGAAACACAGTCAGCACCAAGGACAGGGAAACACAGACAGCACTAGGGACAGGGAAACACAGTCACTACCAGGGACAGGGAAACACAGTCAGCACCAAGGACAGGGAAACACAGTCAGCACAAGGGACAGGGAAACACAGTCAGCACCAGGGACAGGGAAACACAGTCAGCACCAGGGACAGGGAAACACAGTCAGCACCAGGGACAGGGAAACACAGTCAGCACTAAGGACAGGGAAACACAGTCAGCACCAGGGGCAGGGAAACACAGTCAGCACCAAGGACCGGGAAACACTGTACCAATTGTATATTATTAGGAAGAAAGCTCATCATGCAGTCACTGTGTTGGGAAGTTTTGATAATTTGGATCAACACAGCAAAGAGAGCTCACCTCAAATTCTAAGTTATAGAATCGATGAAATAATGTACATCTGCACATACAACTGTCATCGCAAGTTACATGCAAATCATGCCCTTACCTTTTCTAACCTTTCAGCAAACATGGACACCTCAAAAAACTCCCAGCCCTCAAGTCTGTAAACAAGCAATGCACTTAGGTTGTACATGTGCGTACAAATTGCAAGCCATTCAATGTTACAGTAAATGATCAGATGCTAATATGTTATAAAAAAAGCATCATAATATAGTACTTTATTATTATCTGTGTAGTACGTACTATATTAGTATGTCATACATGAGCCCTCAGGTGATAACTTCTGATACAGGTTGTCAAACGGGCTTCCAAAAGTTCCATTCAATAATTAGGAAATTCATATAATTTATCAGGTTTAGATATTGGATTTAATTTATTATTGTTGTTGCTACAGTAACTTACAGTAACATTTTTTTGTTTAGGAATACCAACTTTTGTCAACTTTAAAGAAATTTGTGCTTTCATGGGTATGACTAATATAACACTGTGACAGTGTATTCCCCATCAACCTTGCTCCCAGCCCTCCCACGGGTTGGATCATGGTCAGGCTGGTATACCTCGGGTGATATGGAATACGCTGTGTTGTATTCTCCAAATATATAATGTTATGTATATTAGTCACAGGTGACAGCACTTAACAGGGGATGCAGCATTTTGGACAGCACAAATTTTTAAATCTCACCTGTCAATCACAGGTAACAGCACTTTGGACAGCACTATGGGGTACTGGGGACAGCAGAGCATGACCTCTACCACAGCCTGCAACACAGTCCTACCCTCTGCTGTTCCTGGCTGTACACAGCTGTCCTGCTGACAGTGCAGCTTTCCACACACAGTAGCAGGGAAAGGAGGCCTGTCAGCAGTGTGTACTGTCTCCTTCAATCCTACAAAAAAATAATTTGCCTTTATTGAAAAATAATGACTACAATTCATCATATGATATATTCATCTCAAACATAAAATCATTAAACATCCATTCCTGTAAAGACATCTAATTAGTAAAGGTATGTACACGTAGTGATGATGGTCTGGCACGGTGAGTAGCACAACTGGACATGAAGAAACAGCAACTTTTTTACGTAGGGGAAGGAGAATTAAACTAAATGCTGGGCGTCTGGCGTACGTAGTGCTCTAGAGGAATGTGGTTAATAATAATGCTTTCGTCTGGCAAAATCCCCAATCAATTTTTTCGAACACGTCCCCTACCATTTCATCAATTTTCCAGCGATTAGAAGACATTTATTTTCAAACATTCCTATCCGAAATCCACAATGATAGCAAAGCTGTGAATGCAAAGAACAAACTACGTCTATACAGATTATTAAAGCTTTCCTATAACGAAGAAAAATATCTCAACTTAGCGAACATACGTCACAGGTCCTCCATTACAAAACTAAGAATCAGTTGTCACAAATTACGAATCGAATCAGGAAGACATAACCGCACTCCTCTAGAACAAAGAACCTGTCAATTCTGCAGTTTAGGCCGAATAGAAGATGAAATACATTTCACCATAGATTGCCCCTTGTATAGTAGAGATAGACTCATATTTTTTAGCCATGTATTAAGTATATTTCCCCACTTTAGTTATTTGACTAGTAAAGAGAAATTTGTATTCCTTTTAACTTTTGATAAACCTACTCTAAGTAATCTCACAGCCGCATATATCCATACAATCACTACCAAGCGAGATGAAGCCGAAAAGAATAGAAATTAGACATTTATTTACACTCTTATAATTATGTTCATATATTTGTAATATATATGTTTATGTTCATGTTCTGTACCCATGCGACCTGTACTTAGTTCTGTAGAACACAAATGTACAATAAAGGTCTTCATTCATTCATTAAAAAAGATATCCTTCCATGGGAATGTACCGTTTTCAGTTGTGTTTGTGTGTTGGAAAATAAATATATGGGTTTGACCAATTCCTTTAAAATCTATGTCCGTTAACTATCATATGAGGTAAGTTACTGGGCTTCAGACAGTTTCTTTTTCTTTGTATCTGTATTATGACATATTGGGATAAAATATATGCTGCACGTACATGTATGTGGTGTGGTATGGTCTATCAACAGCTGTCCACTTTTTGTGAGACTAATTATGCCACACTAAAAGCCTGAGTGTATTGTGTAGAATTAAAATTGTGGATATCACCCATCTTTCAAGTTATGTACAATGTAGCATTACTGGTAACGTTGTTGTGAACATTATGCATTATTATACTTCACAGAGGTTTGGAATATCAGATTGCTAATTCAATATTTTTGAATAAAAGAAAACAAAATATTTTAACAGCTTGCAATTTTGCAGATATTTCAGATCCTGATTAACTGTAATTATAGTGCAGCTTGCCATTTTGCAGAATTATTTTTCAGATCCTGATAATAGTGCAGCTTGCAATCTTTTTTATACAACAAAAGAAAAGAACAAAAGAAGACTTAGTGAACCATCCAACTTGACAACATAAGTCAAATCAAACCAAAGTAACTCAAATGTACATGGAAGTAGTATGAAATCATAATAAATAGGTAATATGATTTAGTGATTATAAGTATTGTATAACAAAAGTCAAATCATAAGTCAAATTAACCAAAGTTTGCACTTTTGCAGATATTTCAGATCATGATAATAGTGCAAAGCCTACTGACCTGTTTGTGTGAGTAGTAGTAAGGGAGCCTGACAGTTGCCCATCATGAGGAGGTGCAGCAGCATGGCCCAGTCTGGTGCAGGTTGTCCACACAGCAGCTTCAGCTGGACATAGGCAGCCTGCTTTACAGTCAGATCATGGAAACTGGAACCACGACACAGCAAACGTACAAAATATTACTTGAAGGAATGAATGAAAGATTTATATAGAATACAACACGGTGTATTCCGTATCGCCCGAGGTACCAGCCCGACCGCGCGTCGGATCGCCCGACGGCCGAAGGCCGGAGGGAGATCCGATCCGCGGGAGGGCTGGGACCGAGGGTGATGCGGAATACACCGTGTTGTATTTTATTTATGTCATACCCACCAAAGAATACGCGCCTTTCAATGCGAAATGAGCAAAAATTTGGTGTCCCTAAACCCAAAAATGCGACAACATCAATGCATTCCAACGTCCAGATTCTGTATTCGAATTTAAAAATCGGTGCACGCGGTTAGGCCGAAACGAGTTCGAATCGTTCTGTGGAACATTTGGAAGGCCCGGGCCGTACGCATTCAGAACCCCCGGGCCGTACCGCTAGTTATCACACGGGCCGGAACAACCGTATCGAACGTAATCGCGGCCCAGGTAGGACATAAAAAAGTTTATTGTATGCTTACCAATATGATCTTACAAGCTAAGTTCAGGTCATAGTGATAAAGCAGTTAGGTATACAGTGATATAGAGTGATATATTACATCTAGTACGTACAAAATGTATGTAGTACACAATGTCAATGTACATTGCACATTTTGTACGTAGATGTAAAACATGCTCTATTTGTTCTTATATTTTACAGACGACTTAAGAAGTTGAACCTATACATATTTGATACTTGTTTACATTAGTCATAATACTTGTCAACTACTATGACTATTCTAGTTGCAAGAGAAATACAACTTTTTGTCTTGGGTATCTATACAATCTGATTTAAGGTGGATTTGTTTAGTTTTCAAGTACATGTAGCTATGATTACAAATTTGGAACACACTTTGTATTTCAAATAACATTATGTGACTGTATAATGATACCAAAATCCATACAAATTTTAAAAGCTTTGCAATTTCAACATTGAAACAACCCGTAAGTTACAAAATCTTAGTACAAAATTAGACCTAAAAAGCAGTGCTCGTAAGAATTAAAATTCTACAAAAAGCAAAGACTGAAATAAAACAATGAAATTCTCCAAAATCTGGCACCATACCTTCCTAGCTGCCCAAACAACCCCGGATACAAGAAATGTAACCACTGAGTGTTCTGTCTTCCTGTGCCCTCTCCCTCCTCTCCCCTTCTCCTCTTCTTGTGGAAGCCCTTCTTGAAGGCCTTGTAGAGGTCGGCCAGGGGTGCTGAGACCACGGTGAGGGCTGCCGTGAGAGTGGTGCAGTGGTTATGGATGGCTGTGACGGGGTGGGAGGGGGGGTTGGTGGTGTCCAGGAGACAGTGCAGGGAGTCACACACACTCCACAGGAAGGAGGACGTGATCAGCAATATGGCTGTGATGTCACATCTGGAAAAAGGCAGAAAAATATCAAATTTTATGTTTAGGCCACACCAAGTAAATTTTATGGATGACGTCCTTTAGAGACCCTAAATCTAATACGAGAGGGCGAAAAAAAAACAAGAAGGGCCCTAAAAAACAAGATGCCTAGATTAGAAATAAACTAAGAGATGACAAATGTTAGGACACAAATTGAATGAGGTGACACAGTGTAACAAGCAAGAAGTCTTTTATTCATCATCAAAATAGCAATAAATCAGGTGGAACAGCAGTTGTCATCCTGTCCTGTTTCTTTCATCACATTTTTGCTCTTTACCCATTTCGTGTTACGGGTTTTACGTCAATCTGATGATTTGCGGCACTGTCAGGATTCTTTGGTCATAGTTACAGGAAGCGTAATTTCTTGTTTTTTGTTCTAGGAACAGGCCAAAATCAATGCGCGCGTGGACGTCATCCATAAAATTTACTTGGTGTGGCCTTACCGAAGAAAAACTAGGGGTCTCCCAATAAATTTTGAGGGGAGGGGTGCTCCGTAATTGGTTGATGAAAAATCAGCAAACTTTCATGTAAATACATGTACTAAGAAAAAACCCTAAATTTGAACATTTTGGGAGTGGTTCTAGGATTTTGGGAAGAGGGGGAGCACCCTTGCTCCATTTCTTGGGGAGAGCCCTGAAAACATATTGTTTTTGCAAGTTTTCTCTTCATCTTCCATTCCATTAACACTGACCTCTGACCTGGCCAATGACCTGATTTGTTGACGTCTCTCACCATGGTAACTGGTGTTGGGTTACATAATGTTGCAATTTCATAGTAGGAGGGATTCATACTCCTGTCTGACCATATGAATGCATTTGAGTATTAAGAATTAACAGAGAAGACCATGTGCGAAGGTAAACATTATGCATATGCTTTGCAAATATTATCTTTCTCGTTAAGAGTTTGAATTGTACAGTTGTTTAAAAGGAGATCCTGACAGCTCCCTGATAGCTTTGGAAGGATTTCTCTACTGAATCAACTTTCATTCAGTAGAGAAATTCTTTACACTTCATCATAATTTTACATTTAAAAAATTTTAATTTCCAACACAAAAATATTGGACTTATCCAATGCTTTAACTTCCCCTGTCTTTGTCAATTCTAACTCTTACTCCTCAGTACTAACTTAAAAGTTAGTAAGAGTCTCATGCAATCTTACATAAAGAAGAGAGCAAAATATAAAGTTAACACTTATACCTGAACTGTGCTGTCCTGTTGTATGACGGCTTAGCCTGGCTGTACCAATTTGAAACAGCTAGCAACCCTCTCAGTACTCAGGACAGTAACAAAAAAAACATCAGATTATTCTATAAGTAACAAAAAAACCAAGCAAATAAACAGTCCCTTATACCTGAACTGAGCTGTCCTGTTGTACGATGGCCTAGCCTGGCTGTACCGAGCAGCTAGAACAGCCAGCGAGTCCCTGAGTATGCAGGCCAGCACGTGCTGTCCCAGGCGCGGCGGTGCGTACACCCACAGGTCCCGCCGCAGGGCTGACAGATGGTAACCCCACATCTGCACCGCAAAGGAACATCTCTCTCCCTGGGTATAAATACATGCAATCATAATAAAAAAATGAACAATATACTATGAAATAAAGACTAAGCTTTAACTTCCAACACTTAGATTACAGAATTGTGACTTACCCAAATTTTTGGCTGACTCCATCAACCTTGTTCACAGAATGGACCCGTCTACTCTTGGAACGTGACATCAGAAACACGTGACCGTAGTAGCGGGTCATACGTGCCAGATAACTTGTGTCGCCCCCCGTCTCTGTTCAGGGTAGGTCTGTGAGCTCTTATGCGTGTATGACCCGCTACTACAGTCACGTGTCTCTGACGTCACGTTCCAAGAGTAGACAGCTCCATTCCGTGAACTTTTTTTTTTTCAACACTGCTTCTTCTTCCAGAACATACAAATTGAATGTAGATGTGCTGAGCTTGAAGTACTGGGTGCATATATATATTCACCTTAGTGCAAGTAAAACTGGAGCTATGCAGGTATTTCTGGTGTCTACTTGCACTGTTACACGAACAAGGTTTACATGTATATACAGAAATATGTATACATATACATTGTACATGTACATGTGTATGTCAATTTTTATCCACTGCATTAACTGTTACCATGCACCTAAAGTATGTAGTATAAAAGAAATAAGGGTTTCTGATCAGAAGTGTTTATTATGATCCATATTTCTCAAATTCTGCCCGTGGTGCAGGTAAAATTTGTCTGCTGCAGGTAATATTGAAAATTACCTGTGCTGCACCGGACCAGACAAATTTTACCTGCAACACTCAGAATTTGAGAAGTATGGATCATACTAAAGCTGTGACAGTCTGAAACCATTACGGTAACCATTATTTTGTTTATACCATACATGTATTTCCTACTAGGTGGTAACAGTCAATGCAGCAAACAAAAAAATCCACATACATGTACACTATATCAGTACGTCAGCAGAACGTACTGCACCTGCGGATTTTTTTTACAGTTTTTGTTGGATTTTGGGTCAACGTTGCATCAGGATTTTGCCTGTTGCAGACAATATTTTTCTGACATAACATTTGGAAACTACAGATGTTAACCTTATATGCATGAATAGAAGCTTACATTTGTATGTGAGATGTTTTGCAAAAAGGCTAATAGTATGCACAATACATTACGGGTTTCGCACAGGTGCAGTACTTTCTGCTCACTATATCGGACCAGCACGTCGGCAGAACGTACTGCACCTGCGCGAAACCCGTAATGTATTGTGCATAGCACTTCGACAGAATGTCTCATATAAGGTTGTACTAGCGCATATAAGGTTAACATCCCGTCTGTAGCTTCCAAATGTTATGTAGAAAAAGATATCCTTTGGAACAGGCAAAATTCTGATGCAACATTGACCAAAAATCCACCGAAAATTATGAAAATACAGGGTTCTGCACAGGCGCAGTACGTTCTGCCGACGTGTTTATCGGACCTAGTACATGTACTAGTACATGTACATGGACCAGTTCAGATATACAGAAAAAAGCAATAGATAATTTAATCCAGGTTAAAACAGTTGCTGACCTCGTAGAAAGCCCTGGGGTCCTGCCAGTTGTGGCTGTCTGTGTCCTGTAGAACGCTGGTGGCGATCACGTTGGCGTGATAACCAATCACCTGCTGCGACAGACTGTCAGCAAAGTCTCGCACGCTCTGATAGGCTGGATGGAGCGGGCCCCTGCCACACCACATTCAATACTGTCAACCTCAAAACTATCACAATAATTTTTTTTTGGCTACTGTGACATATCCTCGTCCATGATTGTGAAATCATAAAACTGCAAAAATGTGTCTCAAATGTACATTGTTGTACATGTACATGTATGACTGTCACTGTGACATAGCTACAGAAAGAATCTGAATCATTTCAACCTCAAATTTGAAACTCAAAAATCTCCTGCTTTTTCAAAAAAACAAATTAATTAATGAATGAAAAAAGTAACTGAATTTGCAGTAATCCAACTAATACTGCAACTAATTAAGTATTGCCATATCAGTAAAATATCCACTACTACACAAGATAGAACATTTACCTCTAGCCATTATAGCTGATTTACAACATTGAAATCTTTCTACTGTCAAGTTGAAAAGAGACACTGTGAAAGCACTTAGAAAAGCAACAACTACATGTATACAAAGGCTAACATTTGATTGGGAGGTACAAATACAGCATATTTCACTCCATCTCCCTCCCCCCATTCCAAACTGGACATTTTCATACAGGTTGTCAAATTTTAAAATTACGTTTACTCACAATATCACTACACTCTGATTATGAGGAAAAACAATTTTATACAATGTTACATGTATGAAGTGAAATATAGAAAAGAACTAAAGAAGGCCACATACCTCTCTCCCTTGTTGGCCAGCAGACTGTTGAAGTGGAAAACTTGGTTCCTGATGAAGGCTGCACTCGCCAGGCAGATGTACATGTTCTGTATGGGGGCTTGGTGTGGGCAGTCTGCAGCCACCTGATGACAAATGTGTTGACCAATTGTTCTAAAATCATGTAACGGTCATGACTATTGTTATATTATAATGATAACTAGAAAGGCCAATATTTGCTTTGGAGCAAATACAGCGATGGGTTCACCACATTTTACGACATGGCAGGGAAAGAATGAGAAACACAAGGGAAAACAATGATTTACATTGATATAACTATAATATGAAGTAACATACAACTAAAACAACAGTTGGATAGCTATTCCCTACTTTATTGGTTAGGATTTTTAATTGCATAATGCAAACTGTTGATTTTCAAACTAAAAAAAACGTTCATGCCCCGCATTCCAATGCTGGAGCAGGAAAGCTTGAAATACCTACCAAAACACTTGAATACAGACATACTGTCAGTATGGAAATGCTCTGTGCAGGTGTTAATCAAGTTAAATCCCAACAGCCAATCAGCAAGAAATGCTCTGTGCAGGTGGAAATGCTCTGTGCAGGTGTTAATCAAGTTAAATCCCAACAGCCAATCAGCAAGAAGAATAGAGGAAAGCTGCATGCCTATTGGTTGATGCCCTGCATTCCATTGTGATGACTCATGCCCAGACGTGGTAAACACGGCACACTAACACAGTAATACATGTACATTTGCTATAACACAGCCAAAAAACTCAAATAAAACCATTCTAAAAGCCTGTATCACAAAAATTTAAAAAACGCCTAGGGGTATTTGCCCATTGTACCTCCACCAAATTTCAGGACCTTAGGCCCTAAAATGAAGAAGCTGAATTCATTTAAAGATATGGCAGGAGGAGGAGAAGGAGGAGGAGAAGGAGGAGGAGAAGAAACATCAGAAAAAGCAATATGGGTTCACCACCACTTCGTGGTGTGGTGAACCCATAATAAGTTGCTGACCATATCAAAAGCGATGTTTGCATATATTAGTTGGATAGGTATAGGCCCTGATTGGTTAGTGAGAGTAACCAATCAGTGAAGAATTATTGTTAGCATACATTGTAAATGCAGAGCTTGGAAGTGAAGATTGCTCTGTGAGTTCGTGATCCAGAACTTAGGTATATGTATACATTGTCTAGCTCTCTGTAGATTTAGTAGATTGTACAGCTTGTAGTATCTCATCTGTATTGTATCCTAGACCTCTGGTAACTCTCTCTGTAACTTAGTGTTTTTTTTTTCTGGTAACTCTCTCTGTAACTTAGTGTTTTTTTTTCTGGTAACTCTCTCTGTAACTTAGTGTTTTTTTTTTTTTTTTTCAAAATTTTTAAAAACTTCTTGTAAACCATTAGACCATACAAACCTGTTAGCACATGTAGAGTAACCATTATGGATCAATAAAAACGGCTTCACAGAAGTAATCAAACTGGTTTGAATCTCCGTGTATAGCAAGAGACCAAACACCTGCGAGACCTAATTCATATATTATAAGCAAAAAGACATTGACCTATCAGGAGTCCCCATTCCCTATCGGTTATTATTGTAACGAGCCGTTCCTTGGCCCTGTCCCCCACCCCAGGGGTATCGAAATGAGATGAGACGCAGAGAGATATGAGGCTCTGGCAAGGTCTGTATTCAAGAAGTCAGGCACATGTCTGGAACTGAACTGGTTCTAGCTAGTTCTGACAGGTGACCTCTGGGGGTCGCCGGACTGGCCTATTGTACTGGTAGGAGGGTATCTTTAGGATCTTACACTCTTCCCCCCTACGGAAAACAAAACTCCTCCTGAAGTTTAACTTTAAAAAAAATATAATATACTAGAACTCTGTAACAACAAGAAACTTTACGAACAAAAATATATAGTACAATGAGGATCACTACTGTCAGTACTAATAGTACTGAACAACAGATGCCAACTTGAGCTAAATGGCACTGATAGAATTGTGTTAACCTATCAAAAAGAAAAAAAAATATAGCCGTCACGACCTGACATAGTTGTACCATACTTTGTCGAACTCTGACATGAATATAGTACACAATACTGTGACTACGGAGCATTGCCATCATGGAAACATAACATTCATGATCGAAACATCATCAAAATACAATATCGGCATAATTTTAAACATCGTCAAAACATCATCAAAACACATCGTTACATCATCAAAACGCCACGCCGGCAGTCCCTTGTTTTAACCATGGAGGTAGTTTTAACAGTCTCACTGACTCCGCTTCGCCGGTTACGCCACGCCGGCTACAGCTCCGCCTTGTTGGCTCCGCCTGCTGCTCCACCTGCTAGCTCCACCTCACCGGTTCCGCCCAAAAACCGGCTACAGTTCCGCCATGCAAGTTCCGCCATGCTGGCTCCGCCTCCTGGCTGTGTCGGGGTTTCCCGCTCGGCTGCTCAGGGCCGAAAGTCGAGGCTTGGGGGGGGGGGCATCTCCAATACTCCAATCTCAGAGAAAATGTCGATATCCGACTCGGCTGCGTGCTCAAGCACGGCCGAATTGAGATTTGGGGTAGGGGTGTCCGTAAACTTTGGCACTTTTCCAGTGGAATGCTGGGGGCATTTCTGCCCAGGACCGAGTCACGAATCCGTCCTCCCGCCTCAACAAAGTGTCTTCCAGTCAGGTCTGCTAAATCTCGACGTCCTTCGTTGTTTCTTCTCCCGTCGGGAAGGGGCTCGTTGGAGTTCCGCCGACGTACGTGTGTTTCTCAGTCACCATCATCAACAAATTATAACAACAACAAAAAAAAAACTTAAAAGGAAACAGCTGCGCTGTAGTCACGTCATGGCTGCAGTGTCACAGTGGGGGGGAGGGCAGCACATGGCATCATGGCGACGTCTTCTTCTCCCGCTCATCATGCTGGAATTCCGGGATGAGGGACAGGCATCCCACCGCTGCCATCAGTGTAACGAGCCGTTCCTTGGCCCTGTCCCCCACCCCAGGGGTATCGAAATGAGACGAGACGCAGAGAGATATGAGGCTCTGGCAAGGTCTGTATTCAAGAAGTCAGGCACATGTCTGGAACTGAACTGGTTCTAGCTAGTTCTGACAGGTGACCTCTGGGGGTCGCCGGACTGGCCTATTGTACTGGTAGGGGGGTATCTTTAGGATCTTACATTATGATGGCATAACCTCACCAGTGGTGAACAATAATTATCTTATATAATTACATCAATAGGGTCAACAGGTTTTTTTCTGTCTTCCAGTGATGACACCCACTGTAGATTTGTTTGATTTCCATTTTGCTAGCACATAACTCACAACAACACTAGAAAGGTTTTACTTACCGTAACATTTGCAAAGCAATATGCATAATGTTTACTTTCGCATAAGGTCTGCTCTGTTAATTCTTACTCAAACACATTCATATATGTGGTCAGACTGGAGTCTAAATCCCTTTGACGTCAACAAATCAGTTCATTGGTCAGGTCAGAGGTCAGTGTTTGGAATGGAACTGAAGAAGAAGAGGAAACGTAGCAAAAACAGTGTTTTCCTTCGGTAAACATAAACAAACTCCAGTCCACACACCTTTGTCAGCATGGTCACCACTTGGTCACAGGCAGCCGAGGTCTTCTCCACAAAGGCTGTTCTGATCTGTTCTGTCCCTCCCTCGGAACTGGCCACAGCCAGGGGCAGCAGCTGTTGCAGACAGCGGGACAGCATGGCACAGCACTGGCTGACCTGTCTGGGGTAGTCCAACTCTCCTCCGTACAGACCAGCTGGGGGGAAAACATTTATTTATAATAATAAATAATATGGAATTCACACAGTGTGCGTCCATCTTTCTGTCTATTAGTAGTAAATATATGTTCACTGTGTAAATAAATTACATGATTGTATTAAAAAATAGAAAGGCTGACATTTGCTTTAGAGCAAATGCAGCAAATGGCTTCACCACATCCCCCGTACCAAAAATGGACTTCGTGGAGTGGTGAAGACATAAACATTTCAGTCCTTTGACTGAAATTTGGTGCTCGCTCATTGGACAAAAATTGGTAAAGATATAAAAAGAGACGTCAATAAGCTAAGCTAAGTGTACCAGCAAGATTGTCCCCACAAAATGCAGGAAATAGCATTTCAGAGTGTTCGAAATCATGATTCGAAAAATTTCCCAAGGGGAGTTCCTCTGTATATATGCAGTGTTCTGTAGTTCTGTTTTGTGTACATCATTTTAAAAACACAGTTCCTCTGTACATAGGCAGTGTTCTGTTCTGTACTATGTGTTACAGAGTGACTTACCAGAGTTCCTCTAAGTGTTCTGTGTATACAGACTTACTACAGAGTTCCTCTGTAGGCAGTGTACATACTTTTAAAAAATACCACAGAGTTCCTCTGTATATAGACTGTGTGTTCTGTTCTGTGTACAGACATACATTGTACCACAGAATTCCTCTGTATACATCTGTACATACTTACTAATAGACAATGTTCTGTTCTGTTCTGTTCTATGTGTACAGACTTACCACAGAGTTCCTCTGTAGGAAGTGTTTTGTTCTGTTCTGTGTTACAGACACACACACTATTAGTAATACTAGTATTAGGTAGTGTTCTGTTCTGTGTTACAGACTTTCCACAAAGTTCTGTACATACTAGGCAGTGTTCTGTTCTGTGTGTACAGACTTACTGGTATATCAGAGTTCTTCTGTATGCAATGTACTTTTAGTTCCTCTGTAGGCTGTGAGTGTTCTGTTCTGTGTACAGAAATACCACAGTGTTCTATGTGACACAGGCATACCAAAGAGCTCCTTTGTAGGCAGTGTTTTGTTCTGTTCTGTGTATACATATCACAGATAGAGTTTCTCTGTACTAGACAAGGTTCTGTTCTGTTTTGTTCTATGTGTACAGACTTACCACAGAGTTCCTCTGTAGGCAGTGTTCTGTTCTGTTCTACATGTATCTGTACAGACTTACCAGAGTTCCTCTGTAGGCAGTGTTCTGTTCTGTTCTATGTTACTGTACAGACTTACCAGAGTTCCTCTGTAGGCAATGTTCTGTTCTATGTGCACAGACTTACCACAGAGTTCCTCTGTAGGCCGTGTTCTGTTCTGTTCTATGTTACTTTACAGAATACCACAGAATTCCTCTGTAGGCAGTGTTCTGTTCTGTTCTACATGTATGTGTACAGACTTACCACAGAGTTTCTCTGTAGGTAGAGTTCTGTTATGTTATGTTCTATGTGTACAGACTTACCACAGAGTTCCTCTGTACGCAGTGTTCTGTTCTGTGTGTACAACTCTTCCTCTTCTTCCCCTGCCTTCAGTGCTGCATTCACCATCGCAGTCAGACTCCCAACCACATCAGGCACCAGCTCCAATAGGGTGGCTCTAAAGAAACATTAAAACAGGGCTCAAAATCCTTTTTCTGTATACCTTCACTGGTGTAAGTAACATATAAAATTACCTGCACCAGACAAATTTTACCCGCACCACTCAGAATTTAGGAAGTATATATATTGAATCAATATACAAAAAAAAAAAGGAATTTCAAAGTGACTGTTCTGAAACCACTTTACCAGTATTTTTTTTTGTATCTTATAGGTGATAACAGTCAATACAGCAAATAAAAATCCACATACACCTACATTTTGTACATATTACAAGTACAAGTAAAGGTTTAAGGTGCAGGTACAATGTACACATCAGAAATACTTGCAAGTACAGCCCCAATTTTAACTGCACTAACATGCCTAATTATGCAGGCCTTGATACTTTAATGTCCTCTATATAAAGCAATATGTTAGACACGTACCAACTAGTAATCTTATTTAGGCCACACCGATTTAATTTTATGGATGACATCCTCTGAAGACCCCCAAACTAGTGCGCGCGGGACGAAAAAAATAAAAATCCGGCCAAAAATAAAAATGTTACAAAACCACAGGAATACAAACCTGGTATTGTGAATTTGGCGCATTACATAGCGACGTATAAGACAGGCCGACACATGCTGGATTTTTGCGGAATATATGAATCGACACTGCTGTACGTATGTACTGAGTTCTTGAGTCTTGGAGCTTCGGTAGCCTGGCTGCCGTCAACCAGAGTTATCACCACCATGCACTACCCAGGCCTAAAGCCAGGCCAGAGCCTCGGAATACGTGATCTTTTTGGCGACGCCTCAGGGGCGGAGCCGTTAGTATAGTACTGCGATCGAGTTGAAAATATTCTAAAAATTCCGTCAATGCATTCCCTAGGGAATTACTTGTTTGAATGACTCTGTGTTTGTACACAGCAAGTAGGGATATCTAAAGTGATGGTTGATCTTTTGCAGAAGTCTTTTGTGTAAAGTTTAATGGCTTAGTTGTCAGTCGATAACTGGATACTTTATAAGTAGGACAGGCCTATGTTACCATGCATGCATAAGGCACCTTTTCCGGCCAACTGTGGCTTTTTGCACACAGAATATTAATGATTGTCTTTATTGATATTTCAAATATATTCTCTTCTATCAAGAGAGAAAAAATAGAATAAAATAAAACAGAATAATTTTGTTGCTCATAAGAAAGAACAAGGAGCAGCATATTCAAGCTTAAAAGAATAATGTTTTAAGTAAGTTTTTAGCTTCAACCATATGATGCTGGGCTTTTATTTATAACTTAACTGTGTGCTAATGATGATGTTTTGTGTGTTTTCCACCATGCGTGTTTGTGTCAGTCTTGCTTTTTTTATTCATATTTTTTCTTTGCTTTCACGATGCTGCTGCATTCAATGCTTGTTTTTTCAATCTTCTTGCGTGCAAATCATGAATGCACACCCCGATCCTTCCTTGACTGGGCTTCGTGCTTGCCAGTGAATCCCTGCTGTAGTCTGCATCTCAGGGTGAGACATGGCGAAATTTACCTGTGGACACAAAAAGAGAAAAGCAAATGAGGTCCATATTTGAATAAGTTATGTGATTTAATGATGTTTACCTTCACCTAACTTTCAAATGCCCTAGGTATGAAATTCCAGGCAGTTACCATTGCTGAATTACAACATTGCTGAATTTCTCATTAATTATGCAAATTAAATCTTAATTTACATAATATCTGCCTGTGTTTCTCTCGTTCGCAATTACATATGCCACATGCTTTAATAGTCCTATCATGTAATTTAACTGAATCATGGCACGGGGGCCTGGCACCCAGGCTACATTGTTTTCCCAGCAATCATTAATCATAGAAAGCATGGTACTTTTCAAAACTCACACAGCTTATCGTGAAAGAAGTACTATAGAGATGCGAACATTGCCTAACTATCGTGATTATTTACAATATTGCGTATAATAAGGATGGTTAGGCACTTACCTGGTATTTTGTTCCACTTCTTCTGTCTTGTATTCTTGAGTACCTTTTGTGTTTGTCGTCATGTAGAGCTGAAAGAAACAGTGTAGAACAAGTTAACGAAGTTTGTTATATTCTAGGGTTGCGTTATTCTGCATAGTTCGACAGCGTTCAGCGTGACCGCGGAGGAGAACATGCGTACAGAGCAGCAAAGTGTAGGTGCATCAATCATCAAGGGAGTTAGGATGTACCGGATTGTCAATAAACAAAAAATACATCCACGTCGGGTGTGTCAATAAGAAAATAATTTTTTATATCCACACCAAGTGAATCGATAAAGAGAAAAAATTCCTATCCACACCGGGTATGTCAATAAGGAAAGAGAAATATTTTATATCCACAACGGGTGTGTCAATAGCCACGTACTTTCTTAATATCGTACGATGATGTAACCAACAGACCCGTATGGTTTACCGCTTACTGGCCATCGAATCCGCATTATGCATTTCTAATTATAGCGAACTCACCTTTCCTATAACCGCTGATATTATAAGCCGACAAAAAGCAAAAGTAGGGAAAGTTCCAAAAGATTTAATGAGCAAGTACCCTATTCTAGTATATAATTATTGTACAGACAAAGGGCGAATTTTCTTCTATACTCTCACCCCGTCCAATCAACCCCGCCGAGACAGCAGATTCGAATGGCTTCCTTGTTTACTCAAACCACAACATCAGTCAAAGCAAAGTTTTTAAAATGATTGTTTTAAAGTTGATAGTTGTGGCTGTTGGGAAATGAAATGATCCACGCGATGTACCATGGTGATAGCAGGGCATATATGAATGTGACGGTACAAGGCGCGGATTTTTCTGAAAACGATGAACTGTCAGTCTCAAAACGTATGAAGCAGAGTCAAGGAACTGATTGTAAATACAACGGAACGATTATTCGCCCTAGCACCGTATATACGTAGCCTCCCCGGTATATCTACGGTCATGGACGCCCGCCTGCGCTTCTTCTTGTATAATCTTATTGAGAAACCAGTTCTACATCCTCAACAAATGTAAAGGCGAATGTTTTCATCTTTACTCTGTGACCCAATTTCCCCCAAACCACTAGAACTTTTCACGTTGACATTGTCGGGAACTGTGGGGAAAATCACTGTTGTCAGAAGCTGGGGGCAACACTTACTTTAAGCCAGAGAATCGCAACAGGCTAAGTTTAGTGGGTATGTCATTTAGAATAGTATAAAGGGTTATCATACGTAGTGTAGAAACGAAATTAATGAGTTATTTACGCAAGCTTTACAACAACGATTGACAGCGAAGGAAAACATTTGGACGAAACGGTATCAGAACCGTCAGGACGCCGGTGTGAACAACAATTCTTTAAATTTCAAAATAAGAGACGGTACCCGAGCAGAACGTGGGGCCGCTCAGAGACAATTATGTCACCTAGCCTGAACGACTGCATGGAAAAACGGACTGATCGAAATGGAACAACTTACATGTTACATGCACACAAAAAAATCATAACATTACACAAAAAAACTTTAAACCAAAATAATACACCGTTTGATGGTACACGTAAGAAGGCAACATGAACCAAGACCGTGGACACAAAATATACACACTACATATGGCATGGTTCCAATATTAAAAGAACAGTCTCAACCTACTCAAGTTTGGGCTTACCTCCGTGCCTGCACGACTAAAATCCGGGGGCCTTCCAAGTGTGCGCGCTGCTCCGGCGAGGGTTGACCGGGCCGCGGGACACCCGCTTTCCACGCCCGCGCGCTGTTGGCCGGGGCTGCCTGCATTCTACGCCCGTGCGCTGCTCCAGATTGGCCGGGCTACCCGCGCTCCACGTCCCGCGGCCTGGTCGTGGGGTCACGCCGCTGTTGGACGTGGGGTTTCTTTCCGTGCGTAATGAGTCTGCGAGTAGGTCGCGGTGATATTTATACGAGGACACATCCTTATTAACATGTTTTGCTAGCTCTGTCCATTTTTGGAATATATGGGAGGGATTAAATATTGCTAATTGTAAGACAATTACGCCTGATTGGCCAAGACAATGAATACGATTATCTAACTACATTTCTGCTGACCACAACAACTTGTGCGAGGCAACCTCCGGCCATCTGGCCAGGGTCATTTTTCTACCTCCATGATGGGATGGTGCGAAAGGGGTCAAGCTTGTTGTTGTAGCGGCGGTGTAAACAAACAGAAACCTTCCCCGAAACCTGAAAACGTAAAGCCCCTTATATCACCAACATGAGCACATGTCCACAGCGCAAGCCTTTTCAAATTCCAAAACGCTGCCGAAAAGAAATGACGGGTTCCATTTATTTACTATAACGATGAAACCCATGGAAGATTATAAAAATAATGTGTGTCTTTCTTCTTCTTCTGTTGTGTTTCCTTTTACTGTTTGTCCTAAAACCGCTACAAAGAAAAATATGTGCCAACAAAAACGGACAAAAGTGCATCCAACGTTACATTGTGACGCGGCGATTTGAGGCATATAAAAACTAGCATCCACCAGGCCTTTCTACGGGAATACGGATCGTAGAGTTCGGGGAAAAAAGAGATTAAAATTGGCCAAGGGAGTCCGGCCGCGAGGAGGTAGTTAAATGACCCCCTTATAAATCTTTCCCTCCGAAGGCCAGTCAAACCTAGTACTAGGTCCTACAAGGCGGTCAAACTCCCCTGGCAAATATTCTACTATAAATAGCCAGCGTTTTGAGTCTGGTAGAGGCTATGTAAAGACATAGTCACTGAAAAAGTCAATTGTGAACGACAGGCCAGATCAAGTGTATAGCAAATATTAGTATCTGGACATACATTTCTGCATTCGGAATCGGAAACAACGAATGTCACCAAGGAGCTCTTATCTACGCACCGCAACACGTTCAATTCGACAGAACAACAACAGATGACACTTGTGGAAGCGCCTGGTCTTCGCGGATCAACTTTACCTCTATAAGGTCGTTCTGTACGTTTCTGGCGAGTGTACCTGTGGTCACTCTATTTATTTATTTATCAACCTTGGATGCATGTTGGTGTCCCTGCAAACGTGTGTGGCGGACAACACATCTATAAACCAGACCTCGTGACCGTGGCCTGTTTGCGAACCAGCACACGGACAACATCCACAAGCACGCCAGGCCTATATCTGTAGCATTGGGGGTTCATAACGGCTTTCATAAACATTTTTCTGACAATCCCGTACCTGCGAAAAGGTTTGGGTTTGATAGCCTATTCCTACCCTTACAGAATATACACACAGCGACAGAGCATGCTATGTTATGCACATAATGATAATGTATATGATATACATATGGTTTTTGCGTATCGATCAAGAGTCCAGAGCGCACGTAAACTATATTGTCCTGCTTTCTATTATATAAGGTCAACGACCGCTTGACCGGACATGTAAAATTTGCAGCAGTGGAGAAAAGGATCGCTTCGGTAGACTAGATAATGATCACCGGTATCCAGTGATCTTTGTTCCTACTGACTTTATACAAGGAGCTTTCATCACAAGTAGTATGTCCTTTTATGTCTTACAACTTTTGATAGATTTTATCTGGATTCATGTGCTGTACGTGCGCTCTTATAGAGTCCATTCCAAGTCACCGCGTGTTTTTAAAATAGTACCTTTAATATTTTCTCAATGTTTTTATTTTTGAAAATATTATAAATATTCTGAAATTATTATAAAAATGTACGTACTTGAGTAGCATGTTTTCGAAAATGTCATAATTTGCAAAAATTTCGAAAGTGGCAATCAACTGAGATCTTAATTTTAATTTCTTTTTTTTACCAGCCAAACTTCGTATTTACTTGATGTGCAGTTTCACCCGCGGCATCTGGGTTTACGCTCTCTGGCGGCGTCCTTTGTAGTCCGTGTAGTCAAAAGGCAGACGCCTGCATACAAATGAGCCCGATCATGACGTCACACGCGCCGATGCAGGCCGAAGATCGCGATCGCCCGAGCTGCCAGCGGTTTCCACGGACTTCCTTATTTGGAAGCACACATGACTTGCACGGACGGCGTTTTTGACGAGAGGGAAGACGGAGTGTATTCTGACATGTTTCGGCGCCGTGTAATAGATCTACGTAATACTGTGCGAGAAAGATCCTTGAATTTACAAGCGTTTTTGTGAATGGGTACCTATTTTTTATCTCAAGAAATATGGATGGACTGTACAACCATGGTACAACAGAAAGGATTTGATGTTTCACTAGAGTTTGAGATTTATTAAAAGCAGCGTACGGTTTGGCACTGTTTTTCAGTATCAATGGCTGGCCGCTATCGTGTCGAGTGCTCGCCGACGGCAGGATTGCCGCAGGGTTCATCAACGATACCTACTAGTATTTTTGGCTCACAGAACGCTTCGTGTTGATGTGCAAATTACTTCGTCACGGGTCATTTACAAAAATTAAAAAAATGGTAGAACCGAGTTGCCTTTCTTTAGAAATCATTGGAAATATCGTACGCGGACTCAAAAATATTTCGAAAGTTTTGTAATTCACGGAAATTTCTTAAGAAGTTAAGAACAAGTTTGAAATGTTTGTAAAACATAAGATATCCCTTTAAAAATATTTATAAAAGATTGGAATTAAATCTAAACAATAGCAACAAACACCGAGCTAAGAATGGGGACCCGATATTGGTCGATTGTCGACATGTAGATAACCAGGCACATATATGTACATGTAGCTTATGAAGTGAATATTCCAATTCGTACATATAATAAAAATAAATTAAATTGATAATACCCTAATTTACATAATATACAATTCGTCGCCTAGGTGTATTTTTTACACCTTTCTTGTTTTTTTTGAGATCGGGCGAAAATCAATGCGCGCGCGGATGTCATCCATAAAATTAAATCGGTGTGGCCTTATTTGCCATACATTGTACCCGTGACAATCATTGTGCAATAAATTTTGACTTGACTTGACTATAACTCTAAACACATCTAACCCTCGGAAGAGAATTCAAGGAATAACTGCCATTAAATCAGAAAGTGCTAGGTGTATGAGTGTGTTTTGAATACTACCTCCATTGCCAGATGGGCATGTTGACTGTCTCAGAGTCAGCTGTCTCCCTGGGCGCGCTGTCTGCCTCTGTGCTGTCACTGTCTGTCACCAGCTGGCTGATGTTGCTGGTACTGTGGCTGTTCTTCAGTACACCTGAATACACAGGGACATGGTACAGGGAAGTTAATAATAAAACTATATTAGTGTATATTATCAAATCATCTGTATCTGTATAGCTGGTATACCCACCCTTCGGTGTAACACACCAGCTTCACATAACACAAGACAGAGATCAAAATAGTTTGTTTTCTGCATAAAATTTAAGCACTAGTACATGACTGTATAAATGTACCAATTTTTTTAACATTGAAACTAACCTGCATTAGATAAATATTATCTGCACTATTGAGAATTTAGGAATTACACTAAAAATTGTTCAGAAAATATTGCAATTATATCTATTACTTAAAATGTAGATGGTACCTGTCTGAGTGTCAATACTCATAGAAGTCCTTTCTCTCTCTAGTAACAGACTATTACTACTAAAAAGTTCAACTTAAAGACAAAGTTCACCCTATCTGGTACTCAGAACGATACATTGTTGTCATGTCCAACTGCCTAATAGTATATAGTTACATATGCAAATTTTTGTGTACTTCATTGTATACACATTGTACCATGTACGATTGTTGAGCAATAAATTTCATTAATTCAGTAACACAAGCTATCTACTGGAGACTGACCCCTGAGTGGTGCCTGTCCGTCTCTCCCCTCCCTGTGTGAGGGGTCCCACATGGTGGACACCAGGGACTCCACGTGTGCCTCCAGAGACAGGAACACCGACACGGCACGGCACAGCAGCTCCACATCACCCCGGGACAGAGAGCTGCTCCCAGGATCCTCTGGGGATGTCATATCTGTGTTGAGAAAAGTCATCAGGTCACTTTTCTTTAGATTAACTGTCAGTGACTAATTTTGGTTTACAGCCAGAGTAGAGAAATACTAAATTGTACCTGCACTTCCTTGACACAGAAGTGCAGATCTTAATTTTCACAATGGATGCATTTTACATGCAGTTGTGTTATTCAAATTGTGTTTGAAAGCCCTGTAAACTACATGCATTTTACAATGATTAACTGCAATTGCATTTTACATATTAAGTACATTATATTTTACATATTAGAAATAAAAGCAATTTAAAAGGGAATTGCACAGATTTTAATTTTATTTTGCACCATTTTTGATTGCAATTTGCACACAATGTACTTGAAGTATCTAGATGTAAAATGAGATCTGCACTGTATGACTTTCAATGTATGTCCGTTTCTACTTGTACTACAATGTACAACATATACAGAAATGATACATTATAAACTCCAAGGCTTTACATGCATGACATTGAAGCATTTAATTAATTAAAACAAAATCTTCCTCAAACTAGTTAAAGAACGAATTTCAATAGTTTTCTTTATACTTTAATATAGTGTAGCCAAGCTGTCAAAAGATTAAGAATTTTTTATTCACACATAACTAAGTTGCTGATCATTTTTGATTTATAACAATTTACCAGTAAGAAAAAGTCAAACCCACAACTATACCTTCTTCTGCTTCTTCCGCAAAGGCTTCTCTGCTGCTCGACATCTTCATGGCAGACTTCAAGGCTTTGTCCTTCTGTCGTCCATTCTTCCTTCCCTCCTTCCTGTCTTCTTGAGATTTCCTCCTAGTATTTACCTCCTCCACTACCCCGCTGAGCCATCCACACAGTCCGGTTAGGTACATATCGCGGATCGCTTTCGGCGCCTTGACCGTTCCCTCGAAGATTCCGCAGTTTAAGAGCGTACAGTCTTCCGCCATCATGCTCATTATCTGCGGCTGCGCTCGCTCCAGACTCGTCACGGAATGAGAAACATTTCCGAAACCATCCGCGCCGCTATCGTCCTCTTTCTTCAACACCTCCGTCCACTGGCGGTTGCGTAGGGCGCGATATTTCCGCCATACCTCTCTTGCCGTGCTGAACACCAGACTGTTCTGGAGGTACTCCAACCGCTTTTTGCAGGAGTTTCCGGTTGCGGGCAGTTCCTCGATTTTCCGGAAAAAGTGTCGGCGGAAGCGGGAGGATATCTCGCTCCAGAGCACGACGTTCCCCTGGTCGTCCTCGTCCGGTATGGCGTTGAGAGACACGGCGGACGAGGTCACATGACTAGAGCTGACCAATGGGAGAGGCAGACAGAGCCCTTGTTGGGAGGATATCTTCATGAGACTGTTGAACAGAGCGTCTTCATGGCCTGGGTGCTGGTCTAACGCTTCTTTCTGAAGGGCATAAACCAGATGTAAACAATAAATGTCATTAATTTCAACAGTGGTAAAACATGCATACAAGTTCAAATACAATATATACTAGTAACATAAGAGTAAATCAAAACCATTTAATACAAAACTTGCAGGCCAACTTGCAGGCCATTTTTTGTAGTTGGTCCCCTGGACGGTTGTCTTGGGCAGTTTTGGATATTAATAACCTGGCATGGGTAAAACTTTAATATACTACGATTATTGACATCTTTACCCAAACATAATTTTTTAAATTTTGTCTGACAACCAAATGTCCACAACTCACAATTTTGAGGAGCAGGTCTGTTGTGTCCTGTGGTTCTGGGGAGTCACAGCGGCTGCGATCCAGGGTCCCAGAATGCACCATGAAGTCGGCCACCTCGCGGGGACTGGTGATCTCCTGCGGCACGGGCAGGTCCTGACCCAGCTTCAGTACATCCTCCATACAGCGCTCCAGGCTGGAGTAACACACGTATGAGACCTTACCAGTGAAGTAACACACACATGAGACCTTACCAGTGGAGTAACACACACATGAGACCTTACCAGTGGAGTAACACATGTATGAGACATTACCAGTGGAGTAACACACATATGAGACCTACATGTAAGGAGTGGAGTAACACACATGAGACCTGACCGAGTGGAGTAACACACATGAGACCTGACCAGCAGAGAAACACACATAGGAGACCTGATCAGCAGAGAAACACACATAGGAGACCTGACCAGCAGAGAAACACACATGAGACCTGACCAGCAGAGAAACACACATATGAGACCTGACCAGCAGAGAAACACACATAGGAGACCTGACCAGCAGAGAAACACACATAGGAGACCTGACCAGCAGAGAAACACACATGAGACCTGACCAGCAGAGAAACACACATATGAGACCTGACCAGCAGAGAAACACATATGAGACCTGACCAGCAGAGAAACACACATGAGACCTGACCAGCAGAGAAACACACAATGAAATATGACCAGCAGAGAAACACACATGAGACATGACCAGCAGAGAAACACACATGAGACATGACCAGCAGAGAAACACACATGAGACCTGACCAGCAGAGAAACACACATATGAGACCTGACCAGCAGAGAAACACACATATGAGACCTGACCTGTGAACATTCTCCTCCAGCTGTTGGTTGATGCCCCTTAGCAGCTGCCCCAGTGCATGCTGGGATGGCAGCCCCTCGCCTGTGGTACAGAGCAGCGCCAGACTGCCTCCCGCGCCCATCCCCAGCTTCGCTTCCATTTTCAGCCAATCACAGAAAAGCTTTGCGCATCAATGAACCTGAAGAAAAGACAATATGTTTCAGATTGAGGACAGCTAGGCTAAAAAAAAACACTGGGTGCATTATGCACCTTCATTTATGTTGCAATTGGTTAGTGCAGGTAAAATTAAAGCTGTGCAGGTATTTCTGATGTCTACCTACACCTAACCTGCACTGGTCCATGTACTGGGTATATGCAGGTTAGTGCAGGTAAAATTGGAGCTGTGCAGGTATTTCTGATGTCTACCTGCACCTAACCTGCACTGGTCCATGTAATAATGTATATGCAGGTTAGTGCAGGTAAAATTGAAGCTGTGTAGGTATTTCTGATGTCTACCTGCACCTAACCTGCACTGGCCCATGTACTAATAATGTATATGCAGGTTAGTGCAGGTAAAATTGAAGCTGTGTAGGTATTTCTGATGTCTACCTGCACCTAACCTGCACTGGTCCATGTACTAATAATGTATATGCAGGTTAGTGCAGGTAAAATTGAAGCTGTGTAGGTATTTCTGATGTCTACCTGCACCTAACCTGCACTGGTCCATGTACTAATAATGTATATGCAGGATAGTGCAGGTAAAATTGAAGCTGTGTAGGTATTTCTGATGTCTACCTGCACCTAACCTGCAATGGTCTATATACTTAATCTCCAAGCAAATACTAGGGTGGCAAAAGACATATCATCAAATTGGCCTACATTGGTACACATTGGGTGGGGTATTGCCCTCTATCTTTGGCAAATGGATACTGCCTGGCCAGTTTGTTGATGACAGTTTTTTTTTTTTTTGCCACACTAGTATCTGCCTGGAGATTGCATGTACTGCATGGGTACATGTATACATCATTATATGTACACAATGTTGGTATATGTGGATTTTCATTTAATGCAATGACTGTTTACACCACCTATAGTATGTGCCGCCTGTGCAGGTATGCAGAAAGAGGTGTTTCAACTTCAAGATTTTATAAACGTTTATTATTGACAGCTGACATCATGCAGCGGCCTGTAATTTACTTCTTGAGAAGACCTACTGTTTTACACCCCAATACTAATTCTCTTGATTTGCAAATAATTAGTAACCATAGACTGCGAGAGACTGTAATGTGGCAAATAAATGTTTCAACTGAAGACGCATGCATGTATCTTCAGTTTTTTACAACACATACGTTCTGATCCAAACCAACTTATGCAGCGACCATCATCTAAAATTCCTCTGCCTTTCCTTGCCTAACATATAACATCTGTATTAGAGTCAGATGATCCACATACACCACAATATCGACACTTATTCCGTCACCGTTCGTACTCACCTATCAAAACACCGCCATCTTGGTCTGCACGGCGTCCCAGGATCCCTCACGACACTTCCTAGCAACTAACATTCCACGGTGTCACAGCGACCTCTACCGATACACAGCGGTACTGCAACACAACAGGACCAAGGGGCGACAGGTGGATAGACTCTTTCGACTTAGTTATGCATACCAACAAATCGCAAGACTTTTGAAAGGTTAACAAGCAATGTGATTGGTTTTCATCACCAAGAAGAGTGCCTGTCTCTTATTCTCGTGGTTCCAATTAGCAAGTTTCTTGGTTTCTTGCTAGGGTCTCGATTTTCAATAGCACATTCCGCGGTTCTGAAGTATGAAAGTATGTATGACCACCAGAGAAATCATTGTAACTGAAGGAATTCAAACTCATCATGATCAATGTGTTACACCGAAGAGTCATTATGCCAAAGACACAATACAAGAATATTGCTTTTCTCTTTTACTTTCACATACCTGCATGTTTAGCAAACCATCCAACCAAATAGTTATCGTTTGAAGGCAAACAAAAGAAGTGACGGACGATCCCCGAGATCAGAACCCCGGACCAAGTGTTAGTCGACTTTCAATACCCGGTACCTCCAACGTCGCGACCTTGCTGTTTCAAAAACAGACACGTGAGCCAGGGCCCTCTGTACAAACTACAGACTGACAAATGTCTTTTTGACTTTCCTTTTGACTCGGTTCTACCTTCCGTACATTGTTTCATTATACAGCACTTTTGTAATCTGTTTGTACTGTAAAGTTACCGGACGCACCTCGCTAATTAAGTTTTTTTCTGAGTCAACATTATCCGTCTTGTTGACAAAGAGGGGCTGACAATTGTGGTCGTTACTGACACCGCTTCCTGAGGGTGTGTATGGGGGTTGACACGGGTGCTTACGGACGTGGATAGTCGGTTGTGTTACCGTCTGAAAACTTGGTTTTCCACATCGGTATTAATCATTGAAAGGCATTCAATGGAGTTTTTAGGGCTTGAAACCCCGATTTTTCAAAGCCAATATTCTATAATCTCCAAGCAGATCCCTTTCGGTGGTAAAAAGACAGTATCAAATAGGCCAGGCAGTATCCATTAGCCAGAGAAGGTCGCCGGCCACCGACGGGTGGGGGTAAGGAAAAAAAAACGGCCATATATAAAAAAGGTAACGATCACTCCCCCACAACCTCTGCTTGGAGAGTAAATATTTTAGTCATGTATATTCATTCATACTGGGAAACCAGACTGTCCTAATGTATATTAACCCTCATGGAGCAAAAATTCCAAAAATTCTGACGGAAAATGGTTACTGGAACGGCCATGGGCTGATTTTAGGGCACCACTCAATAATTCTGGTCAATAATTCTCCCTACTTGGATAAATTCAAGTTATTGTTTTTTTAAATCCATGTTGCTAGTCTGGTGGAAACCTAACTCTTTCCCATGTACGTACTAAGTGCTGAGAAGATACAAGCAAAATGTACTAATATAAGTTTGACTAAGACTAAGTCCCGACGGGGTTTAAATCCGTATATACTAGTATGTGTATGTGTGTGTGTGTGGGGGGGGGCATTGCGTGCTCCTCCCGCTATTGTTGTGAAGTAGTCGGTAATAAGGAGGCCTCCTTCGGTATTTGACCTTTTCTTGCACATTCTCTCTGACAGTATTTTGCAAACCGAACTGACAACATGGAGAGGCAAACAAACACTGACTGAGGTTTTCTCTCCACCCAGGCGAGACGTTTTCAAGGTTGTCATCAGCATATGTTTGAGGACACCGTCGAAAACAGTGTCAACACCACATCAGCTGTCATTGAGAACATGAGTTGGTCGCCGTGAAAAAATCATACACATATCAAGTTGTGTACAGTTCGCTAATTCAGTTTTCTTTCTCCACAAATTTGAATCGTCATCATCATCATCATCAATTTGAATACCGAAGAAATGTACCGAAGTCTAACTGCGTAACGTTATGGCCTGTTAACCGTCCACTATACAAGAGTTAAAGGCATTCAATGCAGTTTTAAAGGCTTTGAAACCCGATTTTCCAAAGTCAATATCCTAGTCATTGATATCGATCTTCATACTGAGTTCAAACAACACTATCTCAATGTATTATTCCCATGATTTGATAGAAAATGGTTACTGGAGGGGCCCTGGGCTGATTTTTAGGGTACCACCCAGAAAATAAAGGACTCATCTTGGGGCTTCTTTCTGCAGTTTTAAGTGCCCAAAGTATAAAATGCCGATTAAAATGTGCTAATGTGAAGCAGTCAATATCACAAAGATTGCCTTATTCAGAATATTTCCAGTTTTGCTGCCCTGAAATCGCATTGGATGCCTTTACGGTACGGTACTGAACACACTCGTCGTCATAGAAACCGTATTGAGTTGATCCATATGAGAGTGAGTGTTGGACAATCACTCCCAGCCTGATGTGTACACTAGGCCACACCACCTTAGATTTATGGATGACATCCGCGCGAGCATTGATTTTTGCCTGTTCTCAAAAACAAACAAAAAAACAAAAAGATCACGTCCTTTAAGGCTCTGGCCTGGCTCTAGGCCTGGGTAGTCCATTGTAGTTAGCGACAATTCGGAGCCGGTGGTAACTCTGGAGGATGGCACCCAGGCTACCGAAGCTATACAACTCAAGAACTCAGTACATACGTACAGTGTCGATTCATAAATTCCGCAAAAAGCCAGCATGTGCCGGCTTGTCGTATACGTCGCTATGTACTGCCGCAAATTCACAATACCAGCTTTGTATTCCTGTGGTTTAGTAGCATTTTTATTTTTGGTCGGAGTTTTTTTTTTACTAGTTTGGGGGTCTTCAGAGGATGTCATCCGTAACATTAGGTTGGTGTGGCCTTATAGACTAAACACTTAGAGTCCGCCTATCGACCCTTCTGTCAAAAGCCGACGTCAAGAGGTGCCAGGGAGGCACATTGTGATCACGCTTTGCTCACGTGCGCGATTTTCAAGTATCGTATTTCGGCTTCTTTTATCTTTTATTTCAATCGATGACGCCGTAGTAGACGGTAAGATAGTGCTCGTGTGACAGTCTACATTGATAACATGTCAGAATTTTTGCTACTTATCATAATTTGACACAATCTTATAATCTTAAGAGCATGCGTACGTTTTTATAGAACGACCCCGGTCTCTAATTTTACATAATACCCGTCCCCAAGGTTGTCCTTTTCTCTAACGTAACGCTAAAATCAAAACACCACACTTCAAAAACTTTCAGATTGAGATTCTAGTTTGCTGGCAAGGAGGAAACACAGAAGAGAAATCCAAGAGCGAAACACCCCTACAGGACTTAATGGTTGGTCCCTTTTGAATCTGACTTCTGAGCACATTGGGTGGATCGAAGGAAGGGAGAATTTGCTTCGAGTGTGAAACGCCACTGCCATTTACATGTAAGCAGCTATCCACTGGATGGGTATTACGTGAAAATACTAGCTACCGGAACTGAAGATTTCGCGGTACAGGAGGCAAGACTTCACCACTTACATCCTTGACAAACCAAGACGGTGGAAAATCACAGGTACGTTTGAGACTAAAGTCAAATTTATCTTAAGTTTGCAGATTCGAAGTATTAGGTGCATGCTGTTAGGACAACGTTATGGTCAACCACGTTCTGTTGCAACTAAGCATTTTAGTACAGGCGTGCTACATGGTAGTCTCTACCATACTAACTACGCTATATACATGTATAGGAGAATATTTGCCAGGCAAGTTTGGCCGCCTTGGGGTTTGACTGGAGGGAACTAAACAACCTTCCCGCGGCCGGACTCCCTTGCCCAATTTTACTCTCTTTCTTGCCGAATTCTACGATCTGTATTCCTGTAGAAAGGCCTAGTGGAGGCTACGGGCGTGCGACTTCAAACGTTAACGCCAATGTTTGACTGAGTCGCGCTTTCTTACATGTACATGTAGGTGGAAAAATGCTGGTTCTTCCTACATGTCCTACTATTATAAAACTACTACCTAACCCCCACCCCCACCCCGACGCTGTATGGGGTTCCTAGGTGTTATTCAATGCTCATCAAGAGAACCATACATAGAAGCAAGAAGGTTTCTGATAGAATGCATAAGGAAACAAGCAGGTTACGCGTTTAATGAAAACAAACAAACAAACAAACAAACAAACAAACAAAACAATGTCAAGTTATCCTCATGACAAAATACCAACATGACCTACAATTAGTTCCAATATGGTGGCCAGGTATCAGGTTGTTTGTTCAGCAGAATTCGCAATTGTTTTTGTTTTGTTTTGTTTGTTTTTTCAATTTTTTTTCGCAGGTTGCCTCTAAAAAATAGCTGGTACAGCAATATTTCAGGTTGCTGTCAACACCGGCTGTTTATTCTAGAAGGCAGGCCGTAAGCCAGGCCACCTGTACATGTAAATGTGTCATGTGGCGTAGCGGCAGAGTGCTCGACTCGGAACCTAGAGGTCCCGGGTTCGAGTCCTGACATGCCACCGATCTTGTGCCCTTGGGAAAGGCACTTAACACGACGTTCCTCTCTTCACTCAGGTGAAAATGAGTATTGTATTGTCCCCTGTGTTGGTGGCGGCATTAATATAAGTTGAAAAATGTCAGAATATTACATGTTGTTACATGTTGCATTGGAATATAAAAAGAATGTATCGCTTACATGCTAGCCAAAGTGGGCCAAAATGAAGTTGTTAGCTACTAGCTGGGCCGCTGTAAAGTCACTTTGTATGCACTGAAAAACTGTTGTGCCGGATAACCTGGCGTCCACAATAAGTCTTACACAGAAAGCATAACTTGCGTGCGTGGCGAGGGTGTGTGAGGGGGTATTCGGAATCCTGGTTCAGTAACAGGTAGTTCTTCTCCTCCTCACTCCTCCTGTGGCCATCTTGAAAGAGGGGGAGGGGGGCATAGGAACTGCTGTGACCTTCGTGAAACGGACGTACTAACTACAGGGAAACGGAACATGTCTGGACAGGGCTCGAAATACTGGGTGCATGTGCAACTTAGTGCACCCAAAATTGGAGCTGTGCACCCATTTTTGATTTGTTTTGTGGGTGCACTGGTGCACCCAAATATTTTTGTAGGTATTTTTGTACATATCAAATGTTTAGTTGTATACA